GAAGGCTAAGAGTTTCACCTTATTTAGAGAATACCTAGGGGCGCAGGCAGCACTGGGTCAGCGCCTGTAATCCCAGGCAACTTTCGGAGGCTGAAGGTGGTGATCACCTGAGGGTTGTGCAGTTTGAGAACCACGCGCGTGACCACATTGGAGAAACCCCAGGTCTCTTCACTAACAATAAAAATTAGCTGGGTCTTGTGGCTGGCGCCATGCCCTGGTGTAATGCCCAGCTACGGGGAGGCTGAAGCAGCGAGGAATCGCTGTTGTGAAACCCAGGAGACAGAGGTTGTGGTGGGGCTGAGACTCGCACTTATTGCACTCCAGCCTGAGGCAAAGCAAGGCGAAACTCGCCGAACTTCAATAAAAAAAAAAACAAGAAAAAGGCTGGGCACGGCTGGGCTCATGCCCTGTAATCCCAGCACTGTTGGGACGGCCGAGGAGGCGCGCGCTCTGGATCCAAGACTCGCCTGACCAACATGGAGAAACCCTGTCTCTACTAAAAATACAAAATTAGCCAGGTGTAGTGGTGCATGCCTGTAATCCCAGCTACTCAGGAGGCTGAGGCAGGAGACTCGCTTGAACCCGGGAGGCCGAGGTTGCAGTGAGCTGAGATCGCGCCATTGCACTCTAGCTTGGGCAACAAGAGCGAAAGAGCGAAACGCCGTCTCCAAAAAAAAAAAAAAAGAAACCTAGGAGTAACCTTAGCTCCATCTCACTTAACTTTCTTAAGTTTTTCTATCAGTCGCTGTCTATCCTTTTATCCCAATTGCTACTGCCTTAGTTCAGTTCCTGAGTAGCTCTTGCTTAGGTTACTCAACCTCTTCCTATCCTCTTTCTCTGCCTTCAGGCTTTTTTTCTTTTTTTGACAGAGGGTCTCGCTTTGTCACCCAGACTGGAGCGCAGTGATGCAATCACAGCTCCCGGTAGCCTCGACCTCCCAGGCTCAAGCAACTTTCCCACCTCCGTCTCCCAAATAGCTGGGACTATAGGGTATGTCATCACACCCTGCTAATTTTTGTATTTTTTGTAGGGACAAGGTTTTGCCATGTTGCCCAGGCTGGTCTTTAACTCCTGGGCTCAAGCGATCCACCCACCTGGGCTCCCAAAGTGCTGGGATCACAGGCATGAACCCAGCTGCCTCCAGTCTTGTTCTATCTAGCCTCAATATGGTTACCCAGTTTAGGCATATAATAATCCTGCTTAAAACACTTCAATGGATACATAAGAAACTTCATAGCGATTGTCTCTGAGAACTGGGGGATCTAGGATAGGAGAAATATTTGTCTTTCACTTTGATACTATTTGAATTATTTACTATTAGCATGCATTACTATAAAAACCTAAAGTTTCAGTGACCCCCATTGCCTACAATACAAAGTCTTTCATGAATCTCTCTCCTGTTTACCTCTCAAGCTTCTCTCTCAAGCTACTACTCTATCCAGAATGGCTTCCCATCCAAGTATCAACTTAGCTCTGAAGACTGTCCAGGCCAGGTGCAGTGGCTCACGCCTGTAATCCCAGCATTTTAGGTAGCCAAGGCGGGTGGATCGCCTGAGGTCCGGACTTCAAGACCAGCCTGGCCCAACATGGTGAAACCCTGTTTCTACTAAAAATACAAAAATTAGCCAGGTATGGTGGCGGGTGCCTGTAATTACAGCTACTTGGGAGGCTGAGCCAGGAGAATCACTTGAACCTGGGAGACTGCACCATTGCTCTCCGGCCTGGGCAACAAGAGCAAAACTCGGTCCCCCAAAAAAAAAAAAAAAAGGCTATGCCCAAAAGGGACTTCCTCCTGACTTCTCCATATAGAAGTGACCTCCTTTTCCTTTTCCTTGTTGTTTACTGTGTGCCATATTCAGACTTCCAACATGGTACTTACAATTCATGTTGTATACAATAGTTAAATTAAAAGTCTAACTCCTTCCCTTAGCCTTAGATTCCCTGAGGACAGAAATTCTTTTTTTTTTTTTTTTTTTTGGAGACAGAGTCTAACTCTGTCACCCAGGCTGGAATGCAATTGTGCGATCTTGGCTCACTGTAACCTCCGCCTCCCAGGTTCAAGTGATTCTCCTGCCTCAGCCTCCCAAGTAGTTGGGATTACAGACACATGCCACCACACCCAGCTAATTTTTTTTTTTTTTTTTTTTTTTTTTTAGTAGAGATAGGAATTCTTATTCACTTTTGAATTTTCAGATCCTTGTTACAGGATCAGAATTTCCACAGGTGGGGCTTAGGCAAGTGTTTTGAGAATGTTCCCCAGGTGATTCTAACTATCCTATGTTAACTGCACTAAATCGTAAACTCTTTCACATTAGGAATTATTACCCAGCACAATGTAGGTGCTCAATAAATGCTTTACTAAACTGAACTGAAACAGACAAGTCTGGAAGATGAGGGAGAAGAGTTTGGAGCTAAAGATCTGAAGACATCAGGATGTAAGATGGTGGGAGTGCAGTGAGAGAAAGGAAGCAGGGAAGGACTTCTTTATGACCCTTTCACTGTAACTGCAGAAGACTCAATTACGTGTGTTTTCCTTACGACCTGAGTTCCTGAAGGGAAGGGAACTCTCCGTCCTACTCATCTCCGTAAGCCTGGCGCTAAGCACAGTGCATGGTACATGTTAGGAGCTCAGTAACCTTTTATTGATCTCTTATTGATCTTTTTATTGTGTGTATTGGCCTAGGAGGCTGGATAAATTGATTTTCAGAGGGACAATTAAGTTCAGTCTTCAAAGAGAAGTTCACTTGGCAGAGCAGTGTCAAGAACTTCCAAGCAGAAGGAACAGCAGGAACGTAAGTTCTAAGACATGAAAGAGGGCAGCCACAATCTTTCCATGTGGCCAGGAGTCAGGTGCATAAGAACTTTACAAAATGAGATTGAGAGGGTCAAGGCCAGACTGTGTGAGGCCACAGACACCCACCTATGGATTTAAGGTTAACTGTGGATGGCCAAAAAGGAGTTTTAAATTTAACATGAAATGATCTACCTTTACTCTGTACAAAGTACTAACGGGGCCACGCGCGGTGACTCACACCTGTAATCCCAGCACTGTGGGAGGCCGAGGCGGGTGGATCACTTGAGGTCAGGAGTTCAAGACCAGCCTGGCCAACAAGGTGAAACCCCATCTCTACTAAAAACACAAAAATTAGCCGGGCGTGGTGGCGGGCACCTGTAATCCCAGCTACTTGGGAGGCTGAGGCAGGAGAATCGCTTGAACCCGGGAGGCAGAGGCTGCAATGAGCCAACATCAGGCCATTGCACTCCAGCCTGGGCGACAGAGCGAGACTCCATCTCAAAACAAAAAAACAAAACAAAACAAACAAACAAAAAAAACACCAAAAAAAACAGGCCAGGCGCTGTGGTTCACGCCTGTAATCCTAGCACTTTGGGAAGCCGAGGCGGGCGGATCACGAGGTCAGGAGTTTGAGACCATTCTGACCAATATGGTGAAACCCCCGTCTCTACTAAAAAAAAAAAAAAAAAAATACAGAAATTAGCCGGCCATGGTGGCACGCGCCTGTAATCCCAGCTACTCAAGAATCTGAGGCAAGAGAATCGCTTGAACTCGGGAGGCGGAGGTTGCAGCGAGCCGAGATGGCGCCACTGCACTCCAGCCTGGGCGACAGAGCGAGACTCCGTCTCAAAAAAAAAAAAAAAATTAAAAAATTTGAAAGTACTAGTTGAAGCACGAAAGGCAAAGAATTGAGATGCTAAAGGGAAAAAAAGCTTCATTAGCGGCTGAGGTCCAGCTGACAAACCCAAACATTAGGCAACTGAGGGAAGGGAGTGAGAAATCCATTCCATAAAACCCAGGGAGTCAGTCAAGCGGCCTGTAAATTGCGACCCCTGCTGACCGTCAGGCCACACACCGGTTTTTTTCAGCTCTCAACAAGATGCGGAGCTCCGAAGTGGAACTCCCCCAGGCACCTTCTGTTCTACTTCAGGAGTTCCAAGCCCCTTCCCATCACAACCCCATCCCGCGGGAGGCCCAAGCTGTGCGGAGCAGCCCAGGGATAAGTCAGCCGCCTGGGCGACCTGGGAACGCAGCGCCGGAGACTAAGGAGAGTACAGAACTGCGCGTGCGCGCCTCCAGCACGAGCCCCGCCCCCCGGCTCTAAACCGGGTGGCGGGAAAAGGGACTCAGCGCCTCCTGAGAATGCCCCCATAGCTTCGAAAGGATCCCCGTGTCCGCTTAGCGCCTTCTCGCCACACACTCACTCACCCGCTCCCTGCGGGTCCTCAGAAGCCCGGAGGAGCCAGCGGCCCTCAGGCGCGGGGCTGCAGCCTTTCCGCCACCACGCTCGTCTGGACTGGTCCCTGCCTGCGCGGAGAGCGAGGCGGGGCTAGCCAGGCTGGTCCACGTGACTCCGAGCGAACTGGGGCGGAGATTCGTGAAGAAGGAAGGAAAAGGGAAGCGTGTGCAGGGACTGTTTTATGTGAGGTCGATCTAAAAATCACAGCGCTATGAATTTTCTGCTGAATTATAGTAGAATCAAAGTCCGATTAGAGGTGAATTTACAAACATTCTTCCCCTTCTTCTAGTCAAGCGGACTATTCCAAGTCTTAAATAGTTAGTTAGAAAAGTTAGGTTTTATTTGGGAGGAAGTAAAGAGCTGAGGTAAAGGGAGGAATGGTCTTCTGGGGTGGGGGATGTCTGTTGTATTATAGGTATAAGTTTAAAGCTTTCAAAGTATATAAGAGGCTCATAAAAGGAAGAAAGCAACCATAAATATTCATTGATCAGTTGAGGGTCTTTTCTGGCCTCTCCTGAGATGATCTTGCCAACAAGAAAAGATAATAGGGCTCTGCTCTGGCCCCCTGTAATCCCAGCTACTGGGGAAGCTAAAGCAGGAAGATCGCTTGAGCCCAGGATTTCTAGGCTGTAGTGTGCAATGGTCGTGCCTGTGAATATCCATTGCATTCCAACCTGGTCAACATAGTAAGACCCCCCTCGCTTAAAAAAAAAAAAAAGAAGAAGAAGATAGGGCTCAAACGAATAATAATCTCCTGAATTATTAAGCATTTGAATAGAAGGAATCAATTTCTGGGGTATGAGGGAGTTAGAATAGATTTCCTTCAAGATGAAAGGACAGATGACAGAGAAAAATACACAGACACAAAACAAAACAAAAGAAACACTGAACTAGTGATAAAAGCAGAAAGATGCCATTTGAGGAGTGTTTTGATTTGCTTTAAATAAATTAAAACAGAGTCAAAGCCTCTCTCCTCATGCCCCCTACTACCACCCCTGCATTTATTTGCTCCAGGAATCAGATTTCCTGTGTTGGCCTTAGGGCTTAAATACCATCTGCCAGGCAGTCACACCAGTGGATGTCAGGCTGACCAGTTAAGCTGCTTAATTTTTCTAGATTCTAGGCTTGCCCAAGCCCTATTTAGGTTGGAAGCTCCTTGGCCCAGGACCTCTGAAGAGATCCATTATGCCAGAATGAACACAACCAGTCAGTGGATGTAGACAGGTTTACGTGGCTTTACAGAACAGCTCAAATCCTAGTGTTCACTTTTCTCAGAGTTACTTCCCCACCCAAGTCCCTGGGGCAAGCATCCCTGAGATAAGTAGGCTATATGTTCCCATTAACTTTCCCCCAATTCTTTGGTACATCTGCATCCTGATCTGGGGCTAATATCTCCATTTTCACCACCCACCTCCCTTGAGTCCCTTCTCCTAACCCTTGGAATGCCTTGTCTCCTCCACTTCTCTCCATCTGCCTCATGTAAGGAGTAACTCCCTGCTTCTCTGTTCCTTCAGAAATCAAGAGCCACACACTTGACTGGCAACAGGGTAAAGGCCAGAAACTTAAGGTGTTGGTTACCCTGTACTCACCATACTGGGTCAAGGAAGGGAGGTATAGGATGGCACCTGTTTTTGCTTCCTTAGCTCTCATTGCCCCAAAACTCAGACACAGCCACAATCACTCACATTCATATGCACAATCAGCACACACGGCGAAGAGAGGTGGGATGGGGAGGAAGGGAAGCTCGCACCAACCAGCTCATGAATGCAACTTGAAAGATTTCACACAGCAAAAGGAAAAAAAAAAAAAAAAACAAAACACATACATAAGTTAAAAAATAAAGAAGTACATGCCCCTCCCCACAGTCTCTTTCTTCATCTAGGGGCTGACTCAACCCTTCCAAGTAAACTCAGAAGCTTTCTACTCCCTCTATTCAGCTGGAGCTTCTACAGGGCCTGGGTGTTCAGTTCAACAGGTTCCCCTGTGACTTCTGGTTGTTCATTGGAGTCTTCGGGTTTGACACCCCTGAGGACAGACAGTCTCTCAGAAATACTCTTGAGCCGGGGGAAGAGGAGGAAGTCGTAGAGGAGGCTGCCCAGACCCCCTCCAATGATTGGGCCCACCCAGTACACCTGTAGGAAGAGAAAAGGAATACTCAGGCTTGGGGAGGGGACAGAGCAGCAAGGCTGCTCTTTTTCCAACCGCATTAGTGGAAAACAAGATATTGTGCACTTGATATATACAATAACCTCACCGTTTATTTTCTGATTCATCAAATTACTCCTGTATCCCACACCTTAGCATGTGTATATTCTATTTGTTGTTATCAATTTGCACTAGTTTGTATGTTGCTTTCAAAAATTTTTTATAAATTGTGTGAAATACATATAAAATTTACCATATTAAATATTTTTGGGGCCAGGCACGGTGGCTCACGCCTGTAATCCCAGCGCTTTGGGAGGCCGAGGCAGGCAGATCATGAGGTCAGGAGATTGCAACCATCCTGGCTAACACGGTGAAACCCCGTCTCTACTAAAAAACACAAAAAATTAGCCAGGCGTGGTGGTGGGCACCTGTAAACCCAGCTACACAGGAGGCTGAGGCAGGAGAATGGCATGAACCTGGGAGGCGGAGCTTGCAGTGAGCCGAGATTACGCCACTGCACTCCAGCCTGGGCGACAGAGCAAGACTTCGTCAAAAAAAAAAAAAAAAAAATTTTGGACAGGCACAGTAGCTTACTCCTGTAATTCCAGCACTTTGGGAGGCCGAGGCAGGCGGATCACAGGTCAGGCGTTTGAGAACAGCCTGACCAACATGGAGAAACCCCATCTCTACTAAAAATACAAAAATTAGCTGGGCGTGGTGGCGGGCACCTGAAATCCCAGCTGATCGGGAGGCGGAGGCAGGAGAATTGCTTGAACCCAGGAGGCGGAGGTTGCAGTGAGCCAAAATCGTGAGATCAAGCACCACTGCACTCCAGCCTGGGTGACAGAGCGAGACTCTGTCTCAAAAAATATATATATATATATATATATGTTTTTAAGTATACAGTTTAGTAGTGTTAAGTATATTCACATTGTTATGCAACCTATATCTAGAACTTTTTCATCTTGCAAAACTGTAACTCCATACCCATTAAACAACTGCCTATTCCACCCCACCCCCATCAGCCCCTGGTAACTATCCTTCTACATCGCATCTGTGAATTTGAGTACTTTAAATACCCCATATAAATGTAATCATACAGTATTTGTCTTTTTGTGACTGGCTTATTCACTTAGCATAATGGCCTCAAGATCATCCATGTTGTAGTATGTGTCACCATTTCCTTCCTTTTTACAGCTAATATTCAATTTCTGTATATACCACATTTTGTTTATCCATTCATCCACTGAGGAACACTTGGGTTGCTTCTACCTCTTAGCTATTGTGAATAATGCTGTTATGAAATTGGGTGTACAGCTTTGAAAAATTTTTAAATTATTTCCATATGTCTGGCTTGCACAACATCAACATAACCAATATTTATTGAGTACTTACTTTATACCAGATTCTGTGCTAAATGTTTCTCACATATAACTTTCACACATTTCTCGTAATGTCCCATTTTATAGTAAAAGAAACTGAAGCACAGAGTGATTATTTGCCCATGGTCACACACAAAGCCAATAATGTATTAGAACTGGGATGGAGCTGAGGCCCATTTGTGCTCACAACACATCCTGATCTCTGAGAGCAGAATTTATTGTGCTCGTATTTAGTTGTCTCTCTTCATACCCCCTGGTTCAGCAACCAGTGAATACTCAGTGCATGCTCCCTGACTAACCAGAGAAGGAACAATATGAGCGAGAGCCTCTCCTTCTAGCAAAATCATGAATCCTGCTCACACAGGCATGCCAAACTCTCTGACAGCCCCCTTAGCTGAGTGCTGGTACACGTAGAAGGAAAGCAGGAATCCAGCCTGGAACCTGCAGTCCACAACCATCCAGAAGGGCTCCAGGATCTTGCCCCTCTCCCTTCACTCACCCAATGGTTGGTGAAGTTCCCAGTGAGAATGGCAGGAGCAAAGGAGCGGGCAGGATTCATGCCTGCACCAGTATAATACATCTGCAAAAGAGACAGTTGTAACTCAGACACCCCCCTACTCTACCTCAGCTTCTCTCCCCACAACCCACATTGCCCCTGAGAGATGGCGTCTTGTCTCCAACCAGCAGCAAGTGGAGAGAGACAGCCTGCATGACTCTCCAGGAGTTCCCACAATGGGGTGAGGGCAACTGATGCCCTATCTGGGAACAGACTATGGATCCATAGGCAAAGCCCATGTCTAGCCATGATGCATGCATTTCTACTTTGGGGTCAAGAAGGACTAGAATAGCAGTCCCAAGAGAGGGATAGGGCAGAGTTGATTCCTTTGTGCCAGTACAGAGTGCAATGGATAATGTTCATGTTTGACAGTGAAGTAGACAGGAAGAACCCTTAAAAGTTGGGAAAGGTTTAGGGGCCCCAGAATCCTTGAATGAGAAGTTGCTCTCCTTCCTGCTTACCCCAAAGAGGTGCCCCAGGGCAAGGGAGAAGCCAACGGCCAGGGCCACGGAGCCTAGTTGGCCATTCCGCCTCTCATCGTATGTGGCAAAGATGCAGAGCACGAACTGGAGTGTCAGGAAGATCTCCACTGTGGTTGCCTGGGCCACGCTCACCCCAGGGTGCAACTGCGCAAAGGAAGAAGAAGAGAGGCAGCTCATGAGGGCTGCCACAGTGTTACCTCCTCAAGACTTCCCCGGCAAGGATCTCCTTATGGCATCAGGTTCCTAGAGAGGAAGGATAATACAACCCCCTTCATAATCATTGTATTTGCATCTTAGTATCTCCTAACAATGCTCCTTCATGATGGAAAAGATTGCAGCCACTTACATGGATGAGGAAACTGAGGCCTTGAAAGGTAAAATAAGTATCCTCAACAACCTGAAAGGAGTTGGAAGGAAAGCTGAAACTCAAACTCAGGTTTCTTAATTATCAGTCCAGGGACCTATGCCTTCCTTAAAGCTCTAAACCACCTGTCGATCCTCTCCACTTTGACACACACATGCTCACACATGCACGTATTGTCCCAGACCCCAGGGGAGCTGAATCACCTGCACCAGTCAGGGAGTCAGGGTAACAGAGAGTCAGGACACCAGGTTCCCCATCCCCTCTCAGCCAACCATTACCGTGTTGAGTGCTAGGTTTCCTCGGACGGCAGGCGGAGTAACGCTATACAGCACAGCAGCCCCAGCCACAGCTCCCAGGAGCTGGGCTGCCATATAGCAGAAGGCACGGAGCAGGGACATCTGGGAGCCCACAAGGAAAGCAAAAGTGACTGCAGGATTGACGTGGGCTCCACTGATGTGGCCCACAGACTGCACCAGTGTAGCCAGGGCCAAGCCAAATGCCATAGCCACCTGCAGAACATGCAGGGGTCCAGGAGCCCAACGCAGTGAGGACCCCAGCCCGAAGAAGACATAGAAGAGGGTGGCAAAGAACTCAGCGAATATGGCCCTCCAAAAGGAGGCTGACCGCAGTTCCCACATGGCAGGGGGGATGGGCACAGTGCCTGGGTCCCTGCTACCCCCATGGCCTTGTCTGGGTGGATGGTCCCCTTTATAGAGGACTCTTAATCCCTGGGAGGGGCAGACTGAGGTAGCTGGCCCAGCCTCTTAACCCCTTCACAGCTGTGGAGGGCTAAGTCCCCTCCCACACATGGTAAAGATGCTGGATTTTCCCTCCTGTCTCAACTGGGAGATGAGCCAAGAGAGCCATGGCAGTGAGGGTGGGATTGGGGTCACAGCAGGAGAAACTATGAGAAGTGGGGGTGAAGACAGTGGGACTGGAAGAGTCTGCCCTTCTATATGTGTCAAAATTGGGGTTCATAGTCCTTATTGACATCTACATTAGAATACTCTTCAGCTCTCTTTGGAAGGTCCATCAAGCTGAGCTCACTTCATGGCATTTGGGGCTGAGCTCCTGGGGGCCTCAGCCTCCTCTGAGTCTGCCAGGGGTAAGGGTGGGGGTGGGGGTAAGGAGTGGGGTTCAGCAGGGAAGTTGGATAACTAAAGAGAATTCTTTAGTTCCCAGGGATTAGAAGCCTTTCTCCCATTGGCTAGTTTGGGCTGGAATCTGTGGACCCTGCAGCTCTGGGACAAAATAGTTCTGCTGTGTCTGGCTTTCTCTGAGCCCGGGTTCCCTACCCCCAGTCCATGACAGTACCTCCCTTTTCAAACGCTAGGCCTGGCTTTTTAAACGACAGGGACCAACAGAGAGAAGACACTCTCATCCCCGCATGGCCTGAGGGTTGGATTGGAGGGATAGGAATGGGAAAGGGACTTGTAGTTAAACCTTAGAATCAGCTTGTATTTCATCTTTCCTAACTCACATGGTCATAGCAAGAAGTAGTGAAAGGAAGGAAACTGAGTCATGGCTATGAAGCAATGGGAAGGTCTAATGTCCTCTAATACAGCCATGATCAGCACATCCTAAACCTTGATCCCTAGGGAAAGGTATGGGTGTGCTGGGATCAGATCTGGGGAAACAGCCTGTCAAGGAGAGGGAAAAGGATAATATGGGGAAGGAAAGTTTGGGGAAAGAGGTTCAGTTGTGCTCGGGCCTGGTGAGGGACTTGGGACCTAGGCGTGGGGTTGTGTGATGATGGAGAAGGTGGAATGGGACATACTGATAGGTTCTACCATCTCCACATAGTGGCAAGTCATACTGGCCACAAACTTTTCTCATAAACCACCAGAGAACAGAAATTCGAGGTGAGGCCTGCAAGAATGGTGCCCAGCATGGGTCCCACCCAGTACACCTATGGGGAGAGAGAAGGAACACAGATCAGGGACTGTGCTTTCTCCTCATAATACCCAGCTTGGGGATGGACAGAAAGAGAGTTATAGTGAAGGTAGAGGGTCCATCTAACCTATCCACTGGCGGGAAGAGTTGCTGAGAACAGGCCAGAGAGCACCCAAAGGGTTTGGAGCTCTCAATCACGTAGAAGAGAAACAGTCCACCAGACATCATTGGAATCTCCTATATTCTAGAAGTCTCATCAGTCTCCTGACTTCAGGCCCTGTGACCCTCGATGCATCTCTCCCAGTAATGCTCCCAGATCCCAGTCACCACTGCTGGCCTCAGGAAGCATGCAGGGTTCACACCGCCTCCAGAAAAGTTCCCCTGGACAGGAGAAAGAGAGAGGGTAGCACATCATGGTGGGGTAAGGGTGGGGGTGGGGGTAAGGAGTGGGGT